CTATAATTTTAGTTTTAAATAAAATAATTATATATATACATATATATATATATATATATATATATATATATTAATAATTACTTTATTTTAATATAGAATAATTATTTTATAATGATTAACTTTATTTATTTTATTAGTTTTCAAAAACTCCTTCTCCATATAATTTTTAGTTTAAAGAAAATCCACTTAATTTTTTTTTCTTTCCTAATTTAGCTTAAAAGGTTTAATATTATTTTAATTTGTAATATCAGTTTCGTTTATTAAATAATTAAAATTTAATAATGAATTTTATTTGGTAAAACTTTTGATCGAATTTGATAGTTATTGATGTTAATTACGTAATTTATTTCTTTATAATTCAATATAATCATGTTTTTTAACACTTTGAGTTTTTTTATTCTAATCGTTTTTATTTTTTCGAATTCTTAGGATATTTATTAAGTTAAGTTTTAAATTATATTAGTTATGGAATCATCTTATTTTTAATTTTACAAAGTTTATTTTAAATTTATTTAAGAAACTATTTAATTATTTCTAAAATTATTTTTTCTTACATTTATTAATTTTCTTTGTAAATGTTCCTAAATAATTGATTATGTTTCTTTTTCAATATTTAATAAGTCGAACTTTTAAGTTATAAAAAAAGCATTTAATGATTTTTTTTTTTTTTTATAAACATTGATATTCATTTTTTTTAATATTTAAAAGTTTATTTTTGTATTATTAAATAAACAACAAAATTATTTTTATATATTTTAATTCTTTAAAAAATTAATCATTTCTTATATAAAATTTTTTAAATAAATTATAAATAATATTTTAATTATAAAAGCTTAAGTAGATTACTACATTAAATTAATGATAATATTTAAAGAATTGCTTTTTTTTAAAAAAAATAAAATAAAAATAAAATAAAGAATTAATTTTAATTAATTTTTATTAAAAATATTAAATTATACTTTTATAATTGTTGTTATTATAATTTTTAAATATTTTATACTGAAATAAATAAAAATAAAAAATGTCTAAATTATAATAGCAAAACATAACATATTAATTAATAAATAGAAAAATTAAATTAATATAGTTTAATAAATTATAAAGTTTTATTATAAAAATAAATAAAAATATGTTTTTATTTAATTTTAAGGTATATAACTTTTTTATATTTAAAAAATAATTTAATATATAATATTTAAAACAAAAGTATTGACTAAATAAACTAATTAACAGATAAAAATTATTCTATGATAAAAAAAAATAGAAAATGTATAAATAATCTAGAATTTTTTATAACATATATTAAATATTAAAAAGAAATATATTTTTTATGTTTTTAATTTATTAAATTAAAATATATTTATTGAAAAAGTGTTATAAAAATAAATTATAATAATAATGTTTAAAAGATTTTATGATATTAATATAATAATTTATTATAAATATTGCATTTATTAAAAATATAAAATATATATTTAAATAAATTTTAGTTATTTTATATAAATATGTATATTTATTTATAAATTAATTTTATTATAAAAAAGAATATATATATATATATAATAATTATGTTTTTATGACTATTTTACTCTTTTATTTTATTTTTTTGGTTCTTTATACCTTTTATACTAATGTTTTTACAAAATTTTATAAAATATTGCTTAAAAATATTTGAATAAGAACTAGAAAAAACAAAGAAAAAAAAATACTTTCCATTGATAATATTTCATTTGATTTTTTTACTCTTTATGTTTTTGCAATAAATACTACCGTTCGTTTATCCTGAATAATAATTTATTATTTAAAATAATATAATAACAATATGAAAGAAAATTTTTAAATTTAAAAAAAACACAGATAATTTACAGAATTACCAATTTATTTTAAATTTTTATGAAAGAAACTTTAAGATGTTATGTTCCTGCAAATAATATAATGAGTAAGATTGGAATAAAAAATAATTAATTAAAATCTGACAATTATAAAGATCATCATTCTTTTAATAATTAAAGATAAATTGATTTACATAATAATACTAATTTTATTTTTGATCTTAATAGATATGAATAAAGAAATTATATTATATAACATATGACAAAGTTGGAAGATATAAATATAATTTTCTATTTTATTAAGTCTTTTAAACTTGAATATGATTAATATTATAAAATGATTTATACTTAAATTTTGCTGCATAATGCACTTATAATATTAAGAATTAATTTAATAAATTTAAAAATAAAAAATAAAAAATAATAAATAAATATACAAAATAAAAAGTTTATCTTTAAAAAAAAATATATTATTATGAAAAAAAATATTTATATTAATAAACAAATAAATAAGTATAAATCATAATATAAAATATAATATATATATTATTTATATATTTATATATATATATATATATTTATATATAAATATATATAAACCTATATATTATATATATCTTTTTAACATTATTATACTTAAAAATTTATTTTATAATTAATTTTTCTTCTAATTCAGGTTATTAAATTATAAGTGTATTTATAATAAAGAAATATTTTTTATAAAGCTTTTATATTGCCATATTTTAAACATTATAATTATAGCGGATAATTTACAGAATTAATTTATAATAACATTATATTTTTTAGAAAGAACAGAATAATCTTTGACTTATTTAATTCTTTAAAACAAAAAAATATTATTTATTTTTCAATATAATAATATATATATAATGGAGACCTATTTCATTTTGTGCACATTATTTTAGTTAAATTAAGATATACTCTAATAAAAGAACTATGCTTTAATATGATAAAAGGAATAACAAAAATTTATTTTAATAATTTTAGCGCGCGCGCGAAGAATTAATTAAATTATTAATCATTAAAAAAATTTATGAAATATTTTTTTAATTTACTAAATATTTATTTAACTTTTAAAAAAATCTTATTAAGTAATTTTTATTTTACTTTAATTAATTTTTTTAAATAAATAAAATAAAAAATAATATCTTTTTTAAAATAATTATAGAAAATTAAATTATCATTTAAATTAAGTTTATTTATGAATATATTTTATAAGAAAAAGTTAAAAAGATTAAAATTTTTATAAAATTAGCAAAATGAATTAATTTATGATAAAAAATGAATTTATAAACATCATATTATAAATTTTTTTATTAAATAATAATATTATATTTTTAATGTAATTTTTAAAAAATTCTATTTAAAAAATGGTATAATAAAATTATAGTATTATTTTATTTTGATATAAATAAAATAAAAATGCAGTAAAATAAATTGTAATAATTATATAAATAAAAAAAAATATCTAAAAAATAATATATATACGTATATATTTTTTAATTTTTTTTTTATACATATTATTTTTTTATTATTAATTATTAAATAATTATATTCAATAGTTGTGAATAAATTGATTTTCTAATTTATTTTATTTAATTTTAAATAAAAATAATAATAAATTTAAAAATAAAATATACTTCTTTATTTTTGAAATCTCATCATTTCATAAAAAAGACTAAAGATATGTATTTATTATTTCTATATTTTGTAAGATAATAATATTATTTAAGAATTTTCATTTTTTTAAAATAATTATAATTAATAATGATAAAAATTTATAATCTTTTTTATGGGGGAAATAATTTCTAATTTTTATAATAAAAACTTATAAATTTAATCCTTTATTACAAAAAATATTTTTTTAAAAAAAGTTAATATTATTGTCAATTTATTGAAGTTATATGAAAATGAATAAGTTAATATAAAAAGTATAAGACTAAATCTTTTAGTTTTGATGTGATTTTATATATTGTATTGGTACTTATTTAAATTATTACTTTTAAAATAATATTTATTTAAATTAATTCACAATTTTTTAATAATATTTAGATATTTTGGATATTTCAAGATATATGTTATAAATTTGATTCTATACTAATCAATTTATTATAAAAAGAATAAAATATATTATTTAATTTTTATTATAATTTAATTCAATAAAAAAATAAATAAAATAATTATAACAATAAAACATGGAATAAAATAATAACATTATAGAAATATTTGAAAGTTTTGAAAATAAATTTAATAAATATAGTCATGATGCTATAAAAATTATGCAAAAAAATATTTAAACCTAATTTTATTAATCAAATATAGAACAAGTAGAACAAGTAGAATAATTAAAAAATCTCAAAGACAAATACAAACTAATATTAATTTAAAGTAAAAAATAATATTAAAATAATATTTAAATAAATAAAAAGTATAAAAAAATCTCGAATTTATAATGGAAGAAATCATAAGTTTAACACTAATTTATGGAATAAATGAAATGATATTAACTTAATTCTAAATACTTTTAAAAACTTGTAGTTTAATAAGATTTTAGTAATTAGCTTCTATATAAGTATTAATTAAAATGGAATAGAATAATGGTATAAATTTAGAGAAAAAATTAAGTGAAGAAAATATAAATTTAGATGAAATTTCTAATGAAAATTAATAAAATTTTTATGAAAAAGATGAATATTAATAAGAAAATATTAATTAAGAAAATTCGAAAAATCCGTTTTTAATAGAAGGTTTGTTTATAAATATAAAAATGTTTTAAATATTATAAAAATACTTGAGTTTTTAATTAAATAATATAATTTAAGTTTTTAAGTCTTTTAAAAAAGAAAATATTAATGATTTAATTATTATTAATTCAAAATTAACTACTTTAAGTGAGTTTATACCTATCGCCTTAAGAAAACCGGCTGATGATCTTTTTTCTTTAAAAAAAAAGTCGCACAAACGATGGAGATTCTTAAATTAATTCGTTGAATATAAAGAAATTGCTTCATAAAAAGAAATTTAATCATCTTTTTAATAAATTGTATAAGCTATCCATTTAGGAAATGCAACCTAAGCAAAAAGTTCAGAACAAAAATCACCTTTTATGAAATCTGTAATGAAAGGCTTAAGTGGAGTTTATTATTTATGGTCATATCAATCAGCTAAAAAAAAGCTTAAACATTTTATGCATAACCTAATATAAACGAAGCCATAAAAGTATATATATATAAATATTAATATAAAAATATATATATATTTATATATATATTTATATATATATTTATATGTATATTTATTTAATTATTTATATAGGTATGGAATACAATGGAAAAGAATATTTTTTACTAAGCCCTAAAATTAACTTTACCTTCGACAAAATATGTTTAAAAAATATACATAGACAATGTTACTAATTAAGATATATTATAATAATAAAATTAACCAAAATTTGAAATTATTAGAATTAATGACGAAGAAAATTTTTATAAAAAATAATTATTTAAATTTAATAAATAAAAAATCCAAATAAGAATACTTTCATCTCATAAACTAGTTAAACCTAATTCTTAAACAACTAAGTTTTTCAATAAAATTATTCTTCATGTACACGGAGGTGGATTTGTATCTATGGGAACTCGATCACATTAAACATATACTAGAAAATGGGCTAATAAGTTAGGAATTCCTATATTTGCAGTTGATTATAAAAAGGTAATTATTATTTAATTTATGAATATATATATATGTATATATATTTTATTAAGGCACCTTAACATCCCTATCCTTATGGATTAAATGATTGCTGGTAAGCTTATTTATGGATATTATTTTATGCTGAGAAATTCTTTAGTAAAATATATTTATATATTTATATATATATGTATTTTTACCTTTATTAAGATGTGAAACCTGAAAAAATAATACTTGTTGGTGATTCTGCTGGTGGTAATTTAATATTAGGCTTGGTTTAACTTTGTATAAAATTTAATATTTAATTACCTTCGGGCATTATTCCTGTTTATCCGGCTTTAAATTTACATATTCATAGTTTTACACCGAGTAATATATTAGCTTTGGAAGATTAAATTCTCCCTCATATGTACTTAAAATTAATATAGAAAGCATATTTATAAGATAAATTATAATATGCAGATAGTGATCCTTTAATATCTCCTATTATAATACCTGATCAAGTTTTTTTTTTATTTATCATTAAATTAAATTAATTATATTATTTAATTAATTTATTAAGGTTCTTTAAAAATTCCCTCGATGCAGATTTTCTATTGGTTTAAATGATCCTTTAACTGATGAGACTTTTAGATTTTTGGAAAGATTAATGTATATATATATATATATATATATATACTTATATATTTATATATATATAATATGTAATTGTTTAATTTATTTATTTTTTAAGAAAAAATGGAGTTGATGCAAAAATTATTGCTTATAAAAATATGCCACATGGATATTTAAATTATGATAATATAGGAGGAATGAAATGTGCTTCTATTTGTGTTTAAGATGTTTGCGATTTAATTAAAGAATTAGTTGATTGAATTTTTTTTTTTTAATTATAATTATTAGTTTACTTTTATATTTTATATATTTTTACATTTTAAAAATTGATTTCTTTTTTAATATTTATTTTATTATTATCCATAAAAAAAAAAAGGAATATTATTTAAAAAGCATATATATTTTTTTTTAAAAAAAAATTTAATATTATATTTAAAATTTTAATAATTGTTTTAATATTTTACTTTTAGTATTAAAAAAATAAAAGTTGATTGTTTTTAGCATTATTAGAAATATTATAAAATTAAACTCAGTTTATTTAAAAAAAAAAAAAAGAAAAAAGTTATAAAAAATATTGAAAGAAATAATAAAAAAGTAAGTTCTTTTTTTTTTTTTTTTGTATTATTTTTTTTAAATAATATATATATATATAATACTTAATTTAAATTATATATTTATTTACAAAAAAATATTAAAAATATTAACAATAAAAATGGCATTAGTTTCCATTTTAGTGCCTGCATTTTAATTTGAAGATGATTTAAATTTGGTAATAAAAAAACTATAAATAAAAATTATTGGTAAATAAATAATATATTATTAAAAAAAAAAAGATGATTAAATATGCTAGTAATTAAATATAAAATAAAATTAACTTTAATTATGTACTTTGTAACCGAATTCATATACAAGTTTAAAAGAATATGGAATAAAAATGATAAACTCAAGTTTTTAATTAAAAAAAATTATAATTGATATAAAAAATAGATTTAAGTTTAAAAAGTATAGAATCAATGCTTGAAGAATAGAAATTAATGCTTGTGAAAGTGGATAAATGTAAAGATGCATTATCAACTTTAAGTTAAGAATTTACAAATTTAGTTTAAAATCCAAATATATTCAAGTTAAATTATAATATATATAATATATATAAATATATATATATATATATATATATATATATATATATGATTATATATAAATATTAATATAATTTAGAGATTTAGAAAATCAAAAATTATTGAAAAGAACAAAAAAAATAAAATAAGTAAAAGATGATAATAAAAAACTAAGATAATTATTAAAGTAAAAAATTAAAACAAAATATATGTATGTATATATTTGAAAATAAATATATATATATATATATATATATATATATATATATATATATATATATATATATTTATATTTATATATATTATTAAGAGCATAATTAGAAAATTCAGAAAAAATGAGAATAGAAACATAAACTACTGTTGAAACTTTAAGAGAAGAATTTGATTTATTAGTTAGAGTATTTATATAAATAATTAAATATATATTTATACTTAGGAATTAAGTAGTCTATAAAAAAAAGAGTAAGATAATACAGAAGATAATATATAAGAAGTTGGAAATATAGATGATAATAAAAGATAATTGTAAAAATAAAAGTTACAATTTTAGAAATAAATAAATAATTAATATTAATTAAATAATTAAAACTAAGAATTATTGTCTTTTAATAATTAAAAAAACTAAGTTTAAAATAATTATAATTATAATATTAATAATAATAACAATAATAATAATTAAAAATTTAAATAAAAATAAGAGTCAAAATAAATTTAAAATAAAAATAATAATATTAATATGCCTATAAAAATTTGAATGATTGTAGTTTAAATAATTTAAATTTGAATTTATTATTTTTTCTGTTATGAACATATTTTTTTTTTTGTAAATTAAAAATAAAAATATATTCTAATAATAATTTATACATAAATGTTAAAATTTATAATAATATATATTTATATGTTAAGATTTATATATATAAAAATTATATAAATATATATATATATATATTAATATAATTATTTATATATATTTATTTATATTTCTATATTCTTTATATTTTTTATATTATCAAATATCTTCAAATTATTAAATTTATCCATAAACATCTTATATATCTTCTTAAGTTTATATTTTTTCAACATTTACAATAATATTTTTACACATTAATTTATTTTAATATTCTTAAATATAAGACTATATCCTAAACCTAAATTTCTAAATAAGGCATCCTCTTAAAAAATCTCTTACAGTAAGTTCTCTTAAACTAACTTTTTTCCTATTTTCCATATCTACCAAAAATTATGCGCCAAACCCAAATATATTTTATGCCTACTCATTAAATGCATACCCTTACAATGCCCCAGTATCATCTGAAATTGTAAATATAGCCGAAAATTTAGGTAAAAGTATTCTATTTTAGCAATTTTTAACGCATTTATATTCTCCATTTAGCATAATTTCCATTTTTTTTTAACACACACTACATGCGTAATAATAAGGTTTTTTTTCGGCAGAAGATGAGGTAATATAGCCTTCTATGTTTGTATAAAAATGTGTATTTTTTCCTTATTATAAATTTGAAATTTATGCATTTTTTAATTCTTCTTCCATTAAATTTAAAATATATTAAATTTTCTAAACTTAATATATATGAATTGATTACTATAGAGGATTTCCTATATGAGAAAAAGTTAAATTTTATTAAGATTTTTTTGAAAAATCATCTAATATTTAAAAAGATTCTTTAATTTTTAAATTTAATTAAATACCATTCCCTCCATTTATTTATTTTTGTTAATTAAATTCAGTCAAATATGCATTTTTTATAAAAACTACGTCAAATTTTTGCATTTATATCCATTTTTTTTCACCTCTAATTACTATATTTGCTATATATAGGCTTTAGTCACCTATAATCATTCTTATATTGTAAATTTTATCATTATCAGCACCTTACATTTACTCAATTAGAGGTTCTTCGAGCAGAATTCCGGCTATATCGAAGGCAAAATTAGGGTTAATGTACTAAATATCACTAAATTTAGTCAATTCATAAACATATAAAGGTATTTTTAGTCTATCTTCTTCAGTTTCTATCTCACAAACGTCTATATTAGACTTTTCATAGCCTTCGTATTTAATACAGAGTCGAGTTGGAGGCTTTGAAGAGTCTATCATTGTTTATCCTTTGGAAAAAAAGTATATTTTTGTTTCCTGTAATTAATCATAATATTATATTGCTTCTTATCCAAAAAATTGAACATTAGTAGTATAAGGAAGAGAAGAATCATATATATCAAGTTAAAATTAAAGATTTTTTCCAAATGTTTTTATAGAAGATTTTTTTATTATTCGGGCTCTAAAAGTTAAATTTCTAACACCTCTTTTAATATTTTTTAATTATTATATATTTTTTTACATAAATATTTATATATAAAAATATAAATATATAAATATATAAATATATAAATATATAAATATATAATATTTATTTATTTATTTATTTATTTATTTATTTTTTTCATTAATATTACGAAAAAATAAATTTATAATTTTATATAATAATAGATTCTATTTATTCTTTATAATTATTATTATTATTATTTAAAGAAATAATTTATATACAAGCAGTGAAATCTGGTCTTATGTTAAATTTTATTAAAAATTCTTAATCACAATCTGCCACTTCTAAAAGTCCTCCAAATTTATAAAATTTTACTTCTCCTTATTATTATTCAATGAATTCATTTAAACTTGTCAATTCAATAATTTTATTAAAATATTTCCTAAAATACACTGGAGATTTAACTATTTACTTTGATATATAAAATATATCACTTTTCTTTATTTTCTCTTAGTTTTTTTTCCATATCTAAATAAATCTGAAACTATCAATGTCCTTAAATTAAGCATATTTAGGTAATAAATTAGGTACAAAAACAGTCATATTGACTTTTTAACTATCTTCAATTTCACCCAAATCGCCTTTAAGGTCCATATTAATTAAACTAAAAGGTACTTATTTATATCCACATATAGCATTTATAGTAGCTTGAGTTTTTGCTGGTATAAGTTCTATAATAAGATCTTGTTTTACCCATAATTATGATGATTCTTCACCATCGAACTCTATTTATAAATTCCTTAATTAAGTCCTAGTTTTATTTCCAATATAAAAAGTTAATTTTAGATAATTAGATGAATTTATATAATCATAAATTAGAGTTGAAATACATCCTATCTATAAAATATTATTTTCGAATAAATTCGTTTTTTATTTTAAATTTGAAATCTTAAATCGACGAATATTCTAGTTTGTGTAATTATAATTTGAAAGTGTTTTATATATATTAGAAGTAGATAAATTTGAGATTTCGGTACCTTTATATTTCTTATTATCATTTAATTTGAGATTTTTTAAAGGAAAATCTCGGGCACTTATTACAGATAAGTCTATATATTATATATATAAATACTAATATTATATTTTTCTTTACTTGATACTGAAAACTATTCATTAAATGATAATTCACTATGAGCATCTATTTTGTTTGGTTTGTTTATATAATATATAAATATATTTGAATATAATGATTTTTTTTTTTAAAAAAAAAAAATACCGTCTTATTATAATACATTATATTAAGATCTATTTTACGGACCAAACTGTATTTATAAATAAATTTATATTTATATTTTTATTAAAATTACTGTAAATTTTTAAGATTAACTACTAAAAGCTTATTCTATTTTTGCTTGTTTAGATTAGAAATCTTCATTTTTATTATTATTATTACTGTTATTATTATTTTATTTAATTTATCTTTATTTTTCTTATTCTTATTATCTTAAATATTCTTATTCTTCTTCATATTCTTCTTATTCTAATCTTAATTTTTCTTGTTCTTCTTTTATCTTTTTAATTTTTGTTTATTCTTATACCATTTATTGTTTTTATTGTTATAGTTATTCTTATTCATTTTAATATTTAATATTATTATAGTATTATTTATCTAATTATTTTTATTATTCTTCTAGTTCTTAATCCTATTAATTATATTAAGCCATACTCTATATTTTATTTGTACTTTCTTATTTTATATATCCTAAATTCTAAGGTCCTTATCCTTCTTTTTACTTATTTTAATTTTTTGAAAATGTTATAAATTAACTTTCATTTATTTATTAATTATTTTATTTTTTTAAAAGATTTGATTATTATTATTATTCTTATTCTTCTATTTTTTTTTATTTTTCTTGTTCTTATTATTATTATTATAATTTTTTTTATTATAATAATTAAATTTCTTCTTCTTTTTTTAGTTCTTATTCTTCTTCTTCTTATTTTCTTTTTAAATCTTTTTTTTTTTTTTCTTCCATTTCTAATTATTATTATATTCTTATTTCTTCTTGTTATTATAATTATTATTTCTATAATTCTAATTATTATTAATCGAATTATTATTAATATTAATCATAGTCTTCTTCTTAGTCTGGTTAATATTAAAAAGGTGGATTTTACATAATATCATTTTTAAACTTTAAATATTCTTCTTATTGAAATCCAGATTAAACAACCTCCTTTGAACCTGTTATAAATTTATCTAAAAATTCTATATATTTAAATGTTTAATCTATTAAATTTTCATCATATTATCCATTATCATCTTATACTATTTTTAATAATTATTCCATACTTTTTTAAAATTAAGGTGTTTATTCTTTCAATACTATTTTTATTTTCAATATAAATATAAAAAAATATTAAATTATTATAGATATTTTAGGTAATAAATTTTATAAAACTCAAACATTAAAAAAAGACAAATAAAAAATATATAAATTTCTTTTTTTTTTGTGAATAAGGTATTTAAAAAATAGAAATCAAAAAAATTATAAATATATATATATATATATATATATATATTTATTTATATAATATTTTTCTTAATTTTTTTACATAAAAGTATAAAAAGTTTATTTTTTGTTTTTTTTAATTAATTTAGAAATATTTTAATAAAAAAATTATTAAAATTAATAATAAAAATAAAGTAAAAGTTATATATATATATATATATTTTACTATCTTCTATTCCTTCTTCCACTTCATTTGAATTATTAAATATATCAAATACTAAACATCCGAATTCAGCTACTTCATTAAGTATTTATTCTTTTAATTTATATTTGTTTTATTTTTTTTAAAAAAATATTTATTTTTTAATTACATAAATCTTATTATATTTTATTTAGTTTCTAAGGAGTTTCCTTAGTTTTAGTATTTTTAGATTTTTTTATTTCCTTTCAAAAAAATATAAGGGTCTTATGGAAAAGTTACTCCTTATGAAACTAAATTATCATAAGTTTATTTAAATTTAGTTGGATTTTAATTAGTGTCGATAGGATATAATTCGGCTAAATGATGTAATGTTTCAAGTGTTAAAATTAATAGATTTTTTCCTATTTCAGGATCTTTATTATATTTAATTTATTTTTTTGAAAAAAATTAAAATTATTTACCATTTGAAAACATTGATTATCCACGATTTTCGCTATTGCTTTTTTTCTCATGTTTGGCGATTTATTCAAGTACTTTTAATAATTTATTATTTTTATTGTTTATTTTATTTAAAATTCCACGATTTTTCTTTACTATTCCTTATTAAATTAACTAAATATTTTTTTATTTATATTATATTTAATTATTTTTTAACTTTTAATATTAAAAATTTTGATAATGGTTTAGAATTTTTTATTATAAAATTTCCTCAGCTTATTCCATTAATTTATTAACATATATACTTTTTTTATATTAAAAAATTAATAAAAATATAGTAAAGATATGTAATAAAAATATGTGAAAATTAAATTTATGTAAAATATAAATATATTATGTGTATATGAATAAATAAATAATATATATTATATATATATATATATATATATATAATTATATATATGCTCTATTACTCATCTTATTAAGATAATTTTTTTTCAGAAACCTCTTAAAATACAAAAAAATTCTCTTCGGATTAAATTGCTGTTAAAATTTCTTTTTAAGTTTTTTCTTCCATTATTTTTATATATTTTTTTTTGAATTATATATAAATTACAAAACAATAAAAATAACTTATAAAATAAATAAATTATATATTTAAATATTTTATTTATATTAGAATAAATTATATAAATTTATTTTATTTTTATTTTATATTTTTTTATAAAATTAAAATTTAAAAATTAATATTTATAAAATTTAAATCATATAATATATATATATTTATAAATAATAAAGATTATTTTAAAATTTTTAATTTTAAAATAAAATTATCATTTATCTTATATTTCATGATCTTCAATAGAAACTCTATAAATAATTTAATTTATAATTGTTTATAATAAAATATAAATACTTAATCATAGAATTTATAATATTATCTTCAAGTTTTCAATTATATCATAATCAACTTTTATAGGAAATCCTGATAATGGATAAATTGTTCTATATTTAATAGCTAATAATCTAAAAAGTTAAAGCATTTCTTTATTTTATAAATTGCTTTCATTTTTAATTTTATCTAAAACTTAATTAATATTTTATTCAATCCAAAAATTAATATTTTATTAATCTTATCTAATATTTTAATATATATATATATATATATATTTATATATATATATATATATTATTAAAAATTATACAAATAATTATTAATGCTTAATTATTTTAATTCTTATTCTAAACTTTTATTAGTAGAAGTAGCATATTAAGGATAATATATATTAATTAATTCCTTCATTCTAAAAATAAATAAATTTATAAATGTTTATTATAATTTTAATATATGACTTTTATTTTTATCACATAATATTTATTTTAAAAACTTAATCAAAAAAAAAAAGATTATAATATTTTTTTAATAGAATATTTATTTAAATTAGTTTTTTTTAAAATAAAAAAATTAAAATAATAAAAAAAATGTTATTTTATAAATATATATTTAAATATATTTTTATATATTTATATTTATTTATATATATTTACTTTTTATAAAAATATAGTGGTATAACAATACCGTTTTTCCTTATAGAAATAATTCTTTAGTATTAGCTTAAAATATATTAAAAGAGTTGTTTTATTTTTAATTGGCAATATTTCCACTTCTAATAAGAAGTTCAAATATTATATTACACATAGAGCTTCTTATATAATTCATAATTTTTTAGTTCCATCAAGCAGACCTATATCTTCTGAAATTTTTATTATTTATTGATCTTGTGAATTATTTTACTAATTATTTTCGATTTATATTTATCTTATTTTTAAAAGTTTAGAAATTTAAACTTTTAAGACATTATTTTCTTATTCTATTTTTTATATTTTTTAAGATTTATAATTATATTAATCATTCAATCTAATATTTTCTATACTTAATTTATAATTTTAAGCTTTTAGTTTTTCATTTTCAACCTAAATATTGTAAAAATGAATATTTGTTGATTATTATTCTTTATTAGAAATAATTTTTGTCATTTTTTTTTCAGCATATTTCAATTATTACTTTATTAATTTAATATTATATATATATATATATATATATATATATATATATATATTATTATATATTATTATATTATATATATTATTATATATTAATTA